AATTCACAACACAAAATAAATGAGGAAAATGATGGATTTAATTCATAAACTCAAAGATTCAATCATTACAATAACAATAACTAGAACTAAGAAGGAGATCCAGAGAAGAAGGATAGAGAGAGCCGAGGGAGAACAAAAAGAGATAGTCCAGAGGGAGAAGCAAGAAGAATACGCATAATCCAAGAGTCACTGACTTCTAGTCTTTTAATAGAATAGTGTTATACCCCATTTTAACGCGGGTCAAACTAGAGTATTGTTATTGGTAATTCTGAGGTTTAATAAATTAAAAAAACGTCGCCACCTAATTATTTAATGGTGAATTAGGACACCAATTTTAGCTAAATAATGCTTAAAGTTAACTCTGTTTTATGGTCTGCTTAACCTTAAGATCTAAGTAAGGGTTCTAATTAATCCTATAGGGAAGATTGTGAAAGCACCCTATATGATCCATTAATTACAGTTAACCGACCGAACTTATGTTAAATTAAAGTAAGCCTATTTGTTAGATATATTACTAAGTGATAAACTAAAAGGCCGCAGTTGGCTATAAGCTAGATGCGAAATAATTTCTTGAAATGGTAAAAAAAGTGATTAACTCAGAACAACTTAAGATTAGAATATAGGAATAGAATCAAGTAAAAATCCGTTGCCAAGTGGGATAACTAAGTTAAGAAAACTCTGATTTGTAGTCAATTTTGAAATCAATTTGGATTTGAATTAATTGGAAAACACAAGTTGTAAACCCCCCTTTTAAAGGACTAAATTAAAGAAAATATAATTTAGGTTGTAATGGAAATAGCGGAGGCTGATTTCTTCCTTAGGGATGTTTGTCAAATCATCTAACTAGCTCTTGAACGTTTGAGAATAAAAACTCCAATCAGTAATTGATTTTTAAGTTATCATATCTAGATGCATTATTCTATGTGATGGAATAAAGGTTTATTGATAATTAGAACAAGATCCTGAATGATTAGATAGACTTTATCGTTAATCTTATGCTAAGTGTAAGATAAATCCCAAACACACAAATAAATAAACCACAAAAGAAGTTAGATAAAATGAATAATAACAGAAAAAAAAAAGAAGAACGCCACAGGCGCCCCAAGCGTTTCGCTTGTTTTTCTTGCTATCCGGTGCATTTATGTGAATACGAGATATGATGACTTCATGCTCGGGTAGTGCTGAGTCTCGAGTGAGACTCCGGTTAAAGTCTTGAATTAAGACTCCATTTGCTCCAAAGTGTACATGGAAAGAAAGGGAAAAATAAAGAATTAGCAAAATAACTTAAGAGTTTAATCAACATGTGCAAGGATAAGAAGGATTGGAGAGTGGAACTTGATTATTAACAGTATATCAAGATTAAAATATGCGGAAGGTCATGCTTTCAAATTACTTTATGAATTTCCAGCCATACTCTTTGTCGAAATGCAGGAAATAACTGTTTCCAGCTATTTAGATTAGTAGCACTCTTAAGGGTCCAACTGAACTATAAACTTTTGATGACAATCACATAGCAACATGAATATGTTTCATCAAGACATAAATGTTAAAACAACAAAGTTATCCACACTTTCAAATCCGTATACTAGCCAGCACAAAGAAATAGGGCACAAGGTTTCTATAGCCATGATTCCTAAAGAATTTTTAGATATAGTAATAAGTCCATGACTTCTGTTATTTTATCTCAAGCGAGGTGCGCTGACAAATATTCGAACCAAACAGAATTTGTATACTTTGAGGTGATTTCATAACATGGAAGGAAAGGAAAGAAAATTTTAGCTAAAATGCCATATCACTCAAATAGCAATCAAATTTCTATTTTTTATTCCAACTTCGCAGGATCTAACATAGATTTCCCAAATATCCTTTCATGTGAAGAAGAGGTCCTAGATGGTGATTTCTATATTTTATTTTTAACACATGAATTTAATATGTTACTGTTTAGTTAAGTTAGAACAAAAAGCAGACTAGAGTCAGGCCTTTTAAACACTATCACATTCCGACGAATGTTGACACATCTCTAGCTCTATTACTTGGTCATTAAGGGTATCTTAAGGGTATGATACTAATATGAATTGTGATAAAGATAATCGTTGTACTTATAGAGTATAATAAGTAAAAACAGGTCGCATATGTCGTTCATGCACTTTAAGGTTTGTAATAAAGGAGTGGATTCATTTTTTAAAACAATGAAATTAAAATAAACCCCTATTGACATGCTATTTACGGTGTGAAAGACATAAAGTAAATCGAATCTTCATTTAACAATATGCATTTAAATAAACCTATTCTTAAACAAGTTGTTTGAAATCCTAAACATGATGTTTAAGCAAAAGGGTCCTAAATTGCGATGGCAAATAAATCTTTTTGAAGAAGACTAGCTCACGATAAAATCCTTCTTAAAATCATAGCATCTAACAGAGAAATATGCAAAAGGAAATGGGTATTTTGCATGTGAGCATTTGATCAAATATCAGATAGGCATATTTCTAACAATATAGAGCAAAACATAATCTCCTTAAAGGATTGTTGCTAACAATAGTCATTGAATCATTCCCTTAAACAAACATAAAGAAGAGCCATTTTTTTTTTATAGCACCAAACATAGAAAGCTTAACAGAACTAACAACCTTCAAAGCAAAAACGCACCATGTATCGATCGTACTCTAATTAAAATTAAAATGAGAGAGAAAGGAGAAAATACAGACCTTTTGCAGGGCAGCGAACTGAGACGGGTCTTAGATGCGCTATTACCTCAGAACTCGCTACCTTAGACGATTGTTAGTCGCCGGAATAAGCAAACAAACAGGAGAAGAAATGCAGTAATAGAGGCGGTTGAAAACTCTCAACCTTGGGGAAAAAGTGGGCGGCTCAACCCCCTTCCCCGAAAATCTCTTCAGAGGTTAGTATTTATAAGCTGATTTTGAAATTGAGATTTCAAAATAATAAGTCAAATTTATCCGTTTGAATTTAACGTTGCGCCCTTTGGATGGATTCGATCAGAAGGAGAAAAGGAAAAGAGATATGTGAAATCAGAATCCCTAATGCCAAAAATAACAACAAGACTTGCCTGCTGTTTGCGAAATTGGTTGTACTTGGAAACCAAAAATAAGAAAGTAACAATGGGAGATTTCAAAGTAAAGAAAGAGATGGAGAAAAGCCTGAAAAGTTTGTCCAAGAGTCTGTACGTTAGGAAAGAGGGGATGGGGTACCGTGGGTCCCACAATCAACTTGGTGTTGGAATTGAGGTTATAATTCAATATGATTAAATGTGAGAGTTTGGAATCCAAAAGAGATATTTTGTAGTAGTGGAAGAATCTAGAAAAGAATCTAAGACTTGGGCTAATATTTTGGGCTGAATTAAGGAATTACTTGGGTTGTCTTGTGGACTACTTTTTTTGGGCCGGTAGAGCTAGTAGAGAATTATTGGGCACTAATAAGCTGAATTTCCTTTCTCCTTTCCAAATTCTGTGAGCTTCTAATAATATACAATAATAATATTAATGTTAAATAATCAAGTAACTAACTTGTTTATTATACCTAATTATAATTACCAATGTTTAAATAAAATATTAATCGTAAGATGCTCCAAGATCTATTAAATAATTTTGCAATATTTAAAAGTTATTGCAAAAAAAATATTCTCACTTAGTAATAATAATAATAATAATAATAATAATAATAATAATAATAATAATAATAATGGTGGTACTAGTAGTAGTAATAACATTAATAATATTAGTAATAGTGATATTAAGTAAATAATAATAATAATTAGGTCAAGTATGTGCTAAAAATGGTAAAATAACTATTCTTACATTATTAGTGATATTAGAAGCTTAAAGAAATAGTTTAAAAGAAAGGAGGGACAAAATTGGATGTCAACAAATAGTTCTTGGGCTCACTACTCAACTCGGATCCCAAATTAGTCTGGCCATATTACTTGTTCTCGGCCCAATAGCTATGTGTGTGTTGATATCCTTATTGGGCTGTGACTGATTCATAACAGCTAGCATGTTCATACAAACTTGGCTACATGTGTTGTACATTGTCTACTGCAGCATGACATTTTCATTAACATGTTCACTATTCAGGGAAATCTGTGTATCACATTTGAACATGTCACAGTAACCAACATTCTTTCACTCATCAATTTCATTTACATGCTTCTCTAACTTTGGAGAGCATGAGGATCTGGGGAAAGTAATTTAGTACAAAATATTTCAATGCCTAGCATACGACAGGTAGTCCTTAACTTAGAGTTACAAGCAGAGAAATTAAGGACAGGTAGTCCTGAACTTAGAGTTCTAAGTTCAAAAAATAAGGACATGTAGTCCTCAACTTAAAGTTACAAGTTCAAACGTTAAGGACAGGTAGTCCTAAACTTAGAGTTACAAGCTCAAAAACTAAGGACGGGTAGTCCTTAACTTAGACTTACAAACTCATAAATTAAGGACAACTAGTCCTAAACTTACAGTAACAAGCTTATAAGTTAAGGATACTTGGTCTTGAACTTAGAGTTGGAAGTTCAAAAGTTAAGGACACTTGGTCATTAACTTAGAGTTACAAGCACAGAAATTAAGGACAGGTAGTTCTTAACTTAGAGTTACAAGCACAGAAATTAAGTACAGATAGTCCTGACTTCGAGTTCCGAGTTCAAAAGTTAAGGACATGTAGTCCTGGACTTAGAGTTACAAGTTCAAAAGTTAAGGACAGGTAGTCCTAAACTTGGACTTACAAGCTCATAAATTAAGGACAGCTAGTCTTGAACTTACAGTAACAAGCTCATAAGTTAAGGACACTTGGTGCTGAACTTTATGAGCAGAAGGGTATTTTCGTCCGGGGGATAAATGTTTATTTACGCAGTGGCTAAAGACTAAAGACATTTTAAATAATGACTTAAAAGTAAATACATGTGTTATTACTGGCTAACTCTCCCCCCGACTTATTCGTTACTTAAAATTTGGGTTTCACTTATTGGACGCGGCCCAAGAAGAGCCCTCAAATGCTTCGTCTCTTATATTTATGACCGCATTCAAAGAAAGACAAGCTCTCTTCTCTATATTTGCTCTGCTGAATTTCAGTGAGGAAACCAAGCGCACATCTGATTCAGGTTTGCTTTAATGTTACTTGTTATGTATGAAGCATTCAAACTATACCCTTTTCAGATCTTAAATATGTCGTGTTAGTCTTGCGAGCTTGGTAAATTTCGTTTAGGGTTGACCAGTGCCTGCCACCTGTTCGATGGAATGTTTATACATGAACATGTTTTAGTGCAATTGGTATTGGTCTAACTTGGTTAACAAAACCCTTTCGGTTTCTGGGTCAATCGAGTGAAATGTTGTGAGTAAATTGCTAAAATTTGAATAAATTTGTAGGAAGCATGAATTTAGTATTTGCTATAGATGAGTGTTTGAGGGAGCAAGTAAAGCATTAAGATGATGTTTCATGGAAATGGAGATGTTAAAACCCTGTTTGTATGTAGTTTTTATATGTTTTGCTTCCCTTATTTCTGTCAGTATATAGAATAATCACTTATTAGTGAATAACCAAACTGTTACTTATATAATTGATTAATTTCTATTCAATTATTAGTACAAAACACAGAAAGTGTCAAAATCAGGTTCAAAATCCAAACCGACCACGCCCTGATATCTTGCAAGAGTCGGAGTGTTCGTGACTCCATCTTTACTAGTGCTAGAGGAATTGGTTTAGCAAGTTTGCCTCCTTAATCTTTTTCATAAGCTGAAATCATTGAGGAACCTATAAAGTACCAAGCTTAACATTTGGAAAAATTAAAACAAAAGTCTCTGTAATAAACTTAACAGAAGATGGGTTATAATGGCTTAAAACCATCTTTTATGAGTAAAAATTAGTTGTTTCTTCTTGTTGTAACATGGCAAATGTAAATGATGTTGAAGCTATGTTGCACCTACTGAGTACATTACACGATATGAAGTGTTAATGCACTTTTGTACTACATTCCAGCATTTTCTTTTGCTAGATGCGTTCTAAAATCCTTATTACTTATCAAAAAACAAAAAAGTTGTTTCTTCGAAATTCATCCCAATGTTTCGCCTTACAGATCTTTTGAAGACAAACTTGGACACATTAAGTGATACTCCCTCTGTTCCAGTTTATGTGAACCTATTTCTTTTTTGGTCCGTTCCAAAAAGAATGACCCCTTTCTAAATTTGGAAACAATTTAGGTTAAACTTACAATTCTACCCTTAATGAAAGCTTTTATAACCACACAAATACTCTGAGCCCATTTTTGACTTGTTTAGAACCACAAATTTCAAAAGTCTTCATTTTTTCTTAAACTCCGTGCCCAGTCAAACAGGTTCACATAAATTGGAACGGAGGGAGTACTTGAT